GAACTCTCCAACTTAACGTTTAGATTCAGTGTGCCTCTAACCATTCGGTGATCGCTACCAGTTTTCACACTCGCGATCATGGAGACATCACTGAACAGTTGTCGTCTGGTCGTCATAATGAAGTCAATCTCATTTTTTGTGGCACCGTCGGGGTTCGACCAGGTCCACTTCCTGTGGGGCCGCTTCTGGAAGAAAGAGTTCATCATAAAGAGTCCCTCTTTCTCCATGAAGTCGGCCAGCTGCTGGCCCGTTGGGTTCCGTTGCCTTATTCCAAATTTCCCTACTTTTAGCTCACCGTTTTCTCTTGTGCCTAGTTTTGCATTGAAGTCTCCCATTAACACCGTATATTGGGTTTTGGAAGAATGCATTGCTCTAGAGATATCCTCATCATTTCCTCCACCTCCTTATCGGGGTGTGCCGATGTTGGTGCGTAAACCTGTATATAATGATTTAATACGTCCCTATAAAAAAATTCAAGAGGCGTCAAATCAGGTGATCTGTGAGGTCAATGGCCTGGCCGCCGCGACCTTTATAAGGCACTCCAAACTCTGTATTTGTAAAGACTTTAAAATTTTTATTTTTTTATAGGAGAGGGGGCAAACGAGCATGTGGCTCACCTGATGGTAAGTGACTACCGCCGCCCATGAACAACTGCAACACCAGGGGAATCGCAGATGCGTTGCCGGCCTTTTAAAAAGGAATACGCTCTTTTCTTGAAGGTCCCTAAGTCGTATCGGTCCGGAAAAATCGCTGATGGTAATAGATTCCACAAGGAGGTCGTGCGAGGAAGAAAACATCTTCTAAATCGCACAGTGGTGGACCGCCAATCATCCAGATGGTGTGGATGGTATCGGGAGTTCTGCCGCGATGTGCGTTCGTGAAATTTGGCGGCTGGGATTAATCCGAACAATTCCTCAGAGCACTCCCCATGGAGATGCGAAAGAAAATGCAAAGGGATGCAACATCTCTTCGCAGTGCCAATGAATCGAGCCGATCGGAAAAACTCGGTCGTCGACAATTCGAGCCGCTCTGCGTTGGATGCGGTCAAGTGGAAGGAGCTGGCACTGGGGAGCCCCTGCCCAGAGATGGGAACAGTATTCCATGTGAGGCCGAACTTGCGCCTTGTAAAGTAGCAGTCGGTGTGCCGGCATGAAATACTGTCCCGCTCTGCTGAGCACGCCAAGCTTTTTAGAGGCCAATTTGGCCTTCCCTTCCAAGTGACCACGAAACTGCACGTCACTGGATATGTCGACTCCGAGGATACCGATACTGGCTGAGGCAAGAAGGGGAGTGCCTTGAAACTGAGGAGATACGTCAAAGGGGTTCTTTTTAGCGGTAAACGCGCAAACTTGTGTCTTCTGAGGATTAAATTGGACTAGATTTAGTCGCCCCCAATCCGAGACTTTGTTCAGCAAAGACTCGACTTCAGACACAAGTTTGTTCCGGTACTCAGCAACGTTTTCCCGAGAAATATTGGCACGGCCGGTGTATAGAGCATCACCAGTGCTGTCATCCGCATAGCAATGAATGTTACCAGTTAGCAACATATCATTGATATGCAGAAGAAACAGCGTTGGTGATAGCACACAGCCTTGTGGAACACCAGCGTTAATAGGCTTGTAGTCAGAGCATGCACCGTCTACAACGACCTTGATGCTCCAATCTGCAAGGAAGCTGGTGATCCAATTGCACAATTTCTCGGGAATCCCATAGGAAGGGAGCTTCGAAAGAAGCGCTTTGTGCCAAACCCGATCGAAGGCCTTCGCAATGTCCAGACTAACGGCCAACGCCTCCCCCTTGGACTCTACTGCCTCCGCCCATCTATGGGTCAGGTAGACCAGAAGATCACCAGCTGATCGACCCCGACGAAAACTGTATTGGCGGTCACTAATCAGCTGGTGATCCTCAAGGTACCGGATGAGCTGGCAGTTAATAATGGATTCCATTATTTTGGAGAACAAGGAGGTGATCGCGATAGGCCTATAGTTGGATGGGTCTGAGCGGTCGCCTTTTTTAGGGATCGGGTGGACAAAAGCTGTCTTCCATGAATTCGGGACTACGCCTTGGGAGTAGGAGTACCGGAAAAGACGCGTTAGCACCGGTGCCAACTCCGGAGCACACGTCCTCAGCACAATTGGGGGGATTCCGTCAGGCCCACTCGACTTCTGGATGTCCAGGGAGAGCAGTGCTTTGCGAACCGAGCGCTGTGAGAACAGCACATCCGGCATGGAGCACTCACACCGCGGGATGGTCGGCGGTGTTTTCCCCCCGTCATCAAGAGTCGAGTTGGACGCAAAAAGGGAGCCTAAAAGGTCGGCTTTGTCTTTTGCGTCATGGGCCAGTGAGTCATCCTCCCTGTGCAGAGATGGTAGTGATGGCTTACAGAAATTCCCTTGGACAGCCTTGGCGAGAGACCAGAATGCACGGGTTCCCGAAGGAAGGCGAACTAGTTTCTCGCCAATTCTGCCTATGTGCTCTGACTTTGCCTTGGCAATAACACTTTTGAAGGACCTGGAGGCGAAGTTATACTTCTTTTTAAGTGTGCTGGTATTTACATCCCGAGTCGCCGAAGCTGCAGCCCAGGCTTGATAACACTCCTGCTTACTGCGTAATGCAGTCTTACAGGAGCGACCAAACCAAGGCTGAGATCTGCCTCCGATGGGTACCACAGATGATGGAATAAATAGTTCCATTCCCTGTAGCACCACATCAGTGACAGAGTCAGCAACAGCGCTGGGATCATCCGGCGAGAAGCAAACCCGCCCCCATGGTTAGGATGCAAAGAAGGACCGCATTCCGTCCCAATCCGCCGACCTGTAATGCCAAACACGGCGGCAACCTGCAGAACGCAACCGCGAAGGGAGCGTGAGTGGCACCACACTCCGGATCAGACAATGGTCCGAAGAGCCGAGAGGGGCATCGACGGAAACCTGATATCCGTCCGGATGAGAGGTCAGCAGAAGGTCCAACAGGGAAGGTGTATGATCCTCCACATCTGGAATCCGCGTAGGCGAAGTAACCAGTTGTGTCAGACCATATGCCAAGGCAAAGTCATAAACAGATCTCCCCGCATGATCGGTTAGACGTGAACCGAGCCATTCGGCATGGTGGGCGTTAAAATCGCCAAGGATCACGATCTCTGCGGATGGGACCTGTTGTAGCAAGAAATCTGTAGCCATTTGGACGTGGTCGATGAGTCGGTCTGTTTCGGCATTACCGCTATGGGACCTATAGAGGCACCCGTAGATGCGCGGATGGTCGTCGCTGTCTACGCGTAGCCAAAGGATGGACAGGTCCGAACCTTCAAGACTGCCGAGGCGTCGAGAACAGATGTCCTCTCTGACATACACGCAAACTCCAGCCCGAGGCACAAAGGAATGCTTCAATTTGTACCCCGGGTAGGAGAGATACGAAATATCAGCCGGAGAGGAAACCTGCGTCTCGGTCAGAAAGAGCAAGGCCGGCTTCGCCGTCTCGAGATGGTAGTGGACGGCGTTTAGGTTAGAGTGAAGTCCCCTGATGTTGCAGAAATTCACGGATAGTGTGGCAGGGGTCGCCTTGGTGTTCTTGCTCAGTTTGCCCCTAGCAGTAATGCTTTTGAGCGGAATTTTGCCCCCCCCCCCCCCCCAGAATACGCGGGGCAGCCTGAGCACCCACGCTCAGGATCGGAATAACATGGTCGTGGATGCTCAGCGAGGGATTCTCCAGGGGTGCTGGTACCCTCCTGGGGTAGTTCTTCGTGTAATTCCGCTACCATGTTAATGGGGGGGGGGGGGGGGGGGGGGGAATTGGGCCTCCGGCCACCTGCACTCACCAGACGAAACGCAGAAGCAAAGCTTCTACTTCACGCCGGTATTCTGTGAGGTCGTGGTACCAACCCGGCTCGAGCCGGCCCATACATGCAACAGCAAAAACTGCTGCGTGGCTCTACCACCGTTAAAAAAAATACTTGAAATAAGGTTCAATTTTCTTTATTTTGTATTGAATGACGGAATTTGTATTAATACAAATAAAACTGCATTTAAAAGTCTTATTGCCTTGAGTTACAGTCCATTTCAGTTTGTTTTGACTGTACAGGTTTAGTGTGACTGTAAATTACGTAGTTTCAATTATTTTTGGGATAAAAAAAATTACCTATATTTAAAATGATAGAAATCGATTCAGTAAACGATTCTGAATAAACTACTTTCTCAAAGTGCATTAATTATGTTACGTGTTGTATATATCGAGGATAAATGTAATGTTTGTGGGACACAGCATCCACTTACCATCAGATGGACTGTATGCTCATTTAAAAAAATGGCATTGCAGTTTCCAAATATTATTAATAGTTCAGTTGTTTACAATAATAAAAAAATAACCAATATTTTTTTTCTTAGAGCTTCCCGAGTGCAAATTTATATAATAAAAATTAAAGAAAAAAGTCCAAATTGTCAATTTTAAATTTTTTTTGTAGATCGAGGCTCGACTTGCACTTATTTTTTTTTTGATCTTTTTTTTTAGTTATTCTACACCAAGTGCCTAATTAAAGCAAATGTTTAATCTATCTGCCTGAAGAACTGGTATTAATTTTTTCTAATACTAGAATGAGGAATCAGGAATCTGCACATGGTAGAGCCATGTCGGCTCGACCGGGGAAGGACCACGCTCTCACAGAATACCAGCGTAAAATAGCAGCTTAACACTGCTGTGTTTCTTATGGTGTAGAGAACCGGAGACCCTTTTTACTGGAAAAGAGGCATTCCATCTTAGTCCTCTATATGTGATCTATATTGAATAAAAAATTATTCTATTCTATTCTATTCATTTGCATTTTGATTCGCAAACGAGGATAGATGTAGATGTCTATGGGCCACAGCAATCATCAGGTAGACTGTGTGCTCGTTTATAACCCTATCCTATAAAAAAAAAAGAATCAAAGCTAAAACATTAAATGGAAAACTATTTGGGGTATGAAAACCAGAATACAAACAGAACAAGTTCCAACCTAAGCCCCTCACCTGTTGTTGTTGTTGCTGTTGTTGCTGCTGCTGCTGTTGCTGTTGCTGTTGTTGCTGTTGTTGTTGCTGCTGCTGTTGCTGCATCAGAAACTGCTGCTCCTCGGGGCGTATCTTCTTGGGGCGGCCACGCTTCTTTTTGGGCGGCTGGTCTGGTGCGGCGGGGTCGTGTGCGGGGGGCGGACGGGGAGCTCGAGGTGCGCGGGGGACGGGAGGAGCCGTTTCGCCGTTTTCCAGCTTCACCTTCTTAGGCCGTCCACGTTTCTTCTTCAACGGCACCTCCGTCCCGTCCTCCAGGATTATCGTGTCGCCGGGCTCCGGTTCCATTGTTAACCTGCAAAAAAGCGTGCAAGTGTAAACTTACGTAAAACCTAGTCTTCGAAGCGTTAAGAATAACGCAATGAATGGATGAGATAAGAGAAAATAATATTCTGTTCTTAAAGCGCTCTATCTTTCTCTTTCATGCTTTAACGCTGTCCTTAAACAACATTAAGAGTCAAAAGACTAAATACTAAGGCGTTATTATTTTAACAAATCTTTATTGTATTTTATTAAAATCTCCAAAGTTCATAACGACCACTCCCGCATTTTTGATAGTAGGCATAGCAAATTTTCAGAATCAATTTGGAAAAAAAATTACATAGATTAGTTTTAACTGGTTTTTACTGGTTAATTAACTGAACCAGGCGTTACTTTGCCGAAATCCATTATATTGAAATATTATCATATATAAACTTACAACATCATAAGTGGGAGGCGCTCTTCAAACCGCATCACAGTAATTTTTATGGGGATTTTAACTAATTATTAATTACAGACGATTTGAAGTTGTTTGCCGGTGTGGAATGTGGCACTGTGTAGAGAATCATTATCGCGTGGTTTTCGTAAGAGACTACAAAGGGAAGTTAAACAGAATTCATCTCCCGATAACGAGTCAAAATTATAACAAGCTATGACAAGTATGGTAGATATTCGCATGTGTGCGTGTGTGCGTGCGTGTGTGTGTGCGTGCGTGCGTGTGTGCGTGCGTGCGTGTGTGCGTGCGTGCGTGTGTGCGTGCGTGCGTGTGTGCGTGCATGCGTGCGCGCGTGCTTGCCTGCGTATCTCCATCTCCTCCTGCGGGCGGCGGCTGGTGTTGTCGGGGAACACGAGCTCGGCCTCGTCGACGTGCGCGACCAGGCCGTTGAGGTAGTCGCGGAACTTCTTGAGCGCCGCGTAGAACGGCACCTTGTCCGCCGCGCGCGGCAGCTGCGCGCAGCGCGCCGACGACGACGGCATCACCCACGTGTACTGTCGCCACCAACACACAAATTTTCTCAACTCACAACTTCTTTACAATCCTTTTTATTATTTTTCTTTTATCAAATACGTTACAATTCAGGGGTCGTCCCATATACATTTTAAGAAATCCCCTTCCCGATTAAGTTTTTAACATAACTATTTAGACGATGTTGTAGTTTTTAATGCAACTAATAATATTCCTAAATCTCTCGCACATGAGTGGTTCCGTACCATTGTAAAACACGTTTTCTAGTAGGAGAGTTCCCTTTAATTTTTAATTTATTTTTATTTTTATTTCTGTAAAAATTTCAATTGTCTGTCTACCTGTTACGGATCATGAGTTACAGCCCGCTGACAAACAGACGGACGATCCCGTTGGTTAGCCTTAGGGTACGGAACCAACGATAAGGAATAAAACCGACTTGAAAACACACAAAAAATACTCCCACATCATAGCTTCTGAAGTCAGGGCTTGAATAATTTGATGCACTATGTCTTGGTACCGAGTACCGACTCCAAAATCTATTGTATGGAAATAAATGTTTTTGAAATTAGTTTTACTTTTTCAAGGTGAAAACTTCTTTAAAATCGTTGCGTTTTGTAACTCGATTAAACAAAACAGCGACAATAAAGAGATCTGGAGTCTATTTATTATGTAATATATGTTGAATTAAATAAAATGTATGTTGAATAAAATGTAAAATGATTTTCGAATCTGGTAACAATATTATAATATATAAACCCTATAATTATCCTATTCCTGGTACTCTGCATTGGTCTCATTCTCTCAAAACTTAGTTTTCCGAAGGTTTCACTTCTACCGCGTGTGAACTACACACGTTTTTCACTCAATATAGATTATAAATAATACTCAAAGAAATTAATTATTATGATTAATTTACCACTGGTTCAGAATATCTCCACCTTTGTCCTGGAAAAAACCCAACCGGACATATTTTTTTTTTGAAAACAAAGAGCATTTTTTTAAATACTAGCAATGCTATTAACTATTGCTAATATTCCCTTTAGCCACTTCTCGTAAGCTTAAAATGATTGTGTTAGGAGTGGTTCACGACAGTAGTTAAATGGCGGATTCGAATCCACAAACCGCCCTCTGCCATTAGAATAAAAAATAACGTAGAGTCATTTTACCAAATAATTTTACTATGTTTTATCATAAAATAAGAAACGACGATTGCAAGACGTTGTCGATAAATAAAATGTTTTCAGAAATTATCAACTACTTAATTTATAATTTCCGAAAATTAATAACCTTGCCTTGTAATGGCGGTGTATGAATATCCATATCATCTCGTGCATGCCGTAAGCAGGTACTGAATACCGGTACCAATTTCGGTTCTGGTTTTTCATTTAGGTTCTTATAAAGGTTCCTCTTTTCGGTACGGTTCCAGTTCCGGTATCGGTTCCGGTTTGGGTTCCGATGTACCGGTTCCGAGAACATAATATCTGTTTTATACCGATATTTTGGAACCGTTTTCAATCCCTGGCCGTAAGAGACGTGGGGAAAAGGGTTATTTTTAAATAACAGCGAACATCGTTCCGGTTACGAAAGTCACAGTGAAATATCACCGTGACTTTGTCACGTTCGATAACTATTCGTAACATTAGAACGACTTACAACGTGACTTAATATATGCATTTTAGATTTAGTTAAAAGTTAAAGTTACAGGCTATTATACGTCCCAATGCTGTCCCAAGGCATGTTGAGAACGCCCCGTGTCGTGTCTTAGAGATATTTTTTTTCTTATTTCTCAAACATGCAGGTTTCCTCACGATGTTTTCCTTCACCGTCGAAACGCACGCATTAAAATGATTGTGTTAGGAGTGGTTCACGACAGTAGTTAAATGGCGGATTCGAATCCACAAACCGCCCTCTGCCATTAGAATAAAAAATAACGTAGAGTCATTTTACCAAATAATTTTACTATGTTTTATCATAAAATAAGAAACGACGATTGCAAGACGTTGTCGATAAATAAAATGTTTTCAGAAATTATCAACTACTTAATTTATAATTTCCGAAAATTAATAACCTTGCCTTGTAATGGCGGTGTATGAATATCCATATCATCTCGTGCATGCCGTAAGCAGGTACTGAATACCGGTACCAATTTCGGTTCTGGTTTTTCATTTAGGTTCTTATAAAGGTTCCTCTTTTCGGTACGGTTCCAGTTCCGGTATCGGTTCCGGTTTGGGTTCCGATGTACCGGTTCCGAGAACATAATATCTGTTTTATACCGATATTTTGGAACCGTTTTCAATCCCTGGCCGTAAGAGACGTGGGGAAAAGAGTTATTTTTAAATAACAGCGAACATCGTTCCGGTTACGAAAGTCACAGTGAAATATCACCGTGACTTTGTCACGTTCGATAACTATTCGTAACATTAGAACGACTTACAACGTGACTTAATATATGCATTTTAGATTTAGTTAAAAGTTAAAGTTACAGGCTATTATACGTCCCAATGCTGTCCCAAGGCATGTTGAGAACGCCCCGTGTCGTGTCTTAGAGATATTTTTTTTCTTATTTCTCAAACATGCAGGTTTCCTCACGATGTTTTCCTTCACCGTCGAAACGCACGTGGTAAATCTGCACTTAAAATTACAATTAACAATTTCATGTGCCCTCGCGTACTGTGAAATTTACAGCGAGCGCTAACCAACTGAGCTACCATGGCTCAGTATTAAGTTTTATTTCAATAGTAGATTTTTTATTTCCTTCCTTACTATTATTTTTGAAAAATATAAATTTCACCCAACCTAGCCTTAAGCCTAAGATTAGTCAGTCGGGATGGCGGTTTTTCTAATAAAGATCAATTTTCAAATGGATTTGAATCGAAATCAGATTCTCAAATAAATCGAGATTTAAAAGATCGATTAAAATTGATCTTCTTTGATTTACTTTTCGAGTTTGTATTTATACTACCAACAAAATACAACAAAACGATAACAAACGTAATTTTTTTTATTAATCCATTAAGAAGAGGCGAAAGAAACTGCTCAGTTTCTTTCGCCTCTTCTCACAGTCTCTTACACAGTCATTTCAAAATCGCAACACTTATGCATCAAAATCCACCTTAAACTATTATTATTAAAAAATAACGATTCACAGCTAAGGATTCCGATTATCTGCCTATACAAATGACATTTTTTTATGACTCTGGATATCAAATTCTGTCTGATACCTTGGATTTTTTATTAAGATAATAAGGTTTATTAAGATGGGAAGCCGTGTGAATCCAACTGCAATATATGTGTCGATAAATTACGCCGATACGCGACATTGGTACTTTACTCAAGAGTCCCTGTCTGCAAATATTTCAGCACCGGCAGCATTTCTTGATGCCATTGTGGTTAGGGATGATGAAGAATAAATATAAAAAAAATTATTTTATCTCTATATCGGCGTGGTACAGCCACGTTGCAGCTATATAATGGGTTCTAGAACGAATGGGTCGACTCGACCGGGGAAGGACCACCCTCTGACAGAATACCAGAGTAAAATAGCAGCTTAATGCTGCTGTGTTTCGTATGGTGAGTGTAGAGAACCGGAGACACTTTTACTGGAAACAAGTCACTAAAATGGAAATCTTAGTCCTTAGGGGTAACAACGAATCTTTCTTAATTGAGGATAGATGTAGATGTATGTGGGTCATGCATCCACTTACTATAAGGTGGACTGTGTGTTCGTTTGTTACCCTATATAAATAAATATTCTTCTGAACATCGTTACATGTTTCAAATATATATATATATATATATATATATATATTATAATAATAACTATAGTATGTTTCTACGGCAGGCGAAAAAACATATTACATTGACCTAAAGTATTATGTTAGCATCGAAACAAAACGACAGGAATTGCTTCCATACATTTCATTATCGATTACGTATCGTTATGCGCTAAGCGTGTCTCCGTGGTACGAGGTAGGGTAAAGAAAGCGGTCATTCAGGGATAACAAACCTGTTTCGACAGGATTCGCGGTCTCAAGTCGTGCGTATTTGCTAGAGCGGGCGGAGCAGGACTCATCATAGTTTGAGATTTAAAATTTTCGGTTGTAGTTGTTGTTCTCACTTTTATTAAGTTTGTTTTGTTTGTTGTATTGTTAAGTTTTGTATTAAAGTATTTGTTATTGTTTTGTGACGTTTTGTATATATGTAATCGAGTCCATCGACATCAAAATCTTATAAAGATTTTGCGCCACCACGAAAGAAGCGGAAAGTGTCGCATATTTCGGAAACCGAAAAAAGAATGATTGTAAACGTCTATAAATATGTAAAAGAAACGTGGTCTAGTGACGTATATCCTATATAGTTTTATTATCAATATGGCGGACTCTTCCACGTTGTCATCATCAGAAAATGATTCTGAAATAGATATAGAAGAATAGTTTGTCAAGTGTCTCTGACAATCTATTATGAGAAGTTTTATGTATGCTTCAAGGTTGACTGCTAAAAAATACTTAGCATTAAAAGTTCGCCTTTTTACCCGACTGCCAAGAAGTTGTGTTTTGTATGAATGTTTTGTATGAATGTATTGAATGTTTTGTACCTACCTACTATTAACGTAATAACGAAAATTGTAATAACTCTTATGATTTATAAATAATAAATTAAAACTTTATGTTAATTTGCTTTTTAATTCATACAAGTACAGGATAATCTACTTTCTTCATAATATAATAATAGACACAGGGCCTGCGAAGAACTTCGCACTCGGCACTCTTATCTTTCACTCTGATGATGTATGTAATGATACAAGGATAAAAAAATAAAACGTAAAAAAAAAGGTTGGCTACCCCGATGATATCGTCAAAGGTCAATGTACGTTTTTCCCGCTAGAAACATACTATAGTTGGCCGGGCAGACGTTCTGCCCTTTTCGACGACCCTTTTTCCTATAAAAAATCCTTAACTTCGCAATACAAAATGTTGAGTGTATAAGAACTATCCTATCTACTTGAGAAAGTTGGACCACACTGAACACAATGTGCACAATTTCATTCAAATCAATAGTTTAGGAGTTCATCGCGGACAAACAATGTGGCATGTAATTTTTAGGGTTCCATAGTTACACAACAAGGAACCCTTATGGTTTCGCCATGTTCCTCCGTCCGTCCACGATTATACTCAGAGACCCTAGGTGCTACAAATCTGTAATTTGGCATAGTTATAGATATTAATTACGCCTAGACAACTGTGAAATAAAATCTTAAAAAACACTCATTTTGCGTACTTCCTACATATGTAGAAGAAGGATGATTTTATTTAGCTCGTGATTAGTTAAGTTTAGTTTATTGCATTCCATGTCTATTGTGTACTGAAAATCAGTCCCAATCGCCGCACATGACCCGAGGGACTGACCGGGATTAGCCCGTTTGCAGAGATGACTACAGGAATAATTTCGTTCGTCAGACCACCCCACATGTCGGTCACCTCGTGCGCGTAGGTCCAGATATTTTGTTTGCTTATCTGTTTCGGCTTTTACGTGGTTCTCGTCATACGGAATGCTAATGCCGACCAAAAATATCCTTGACTGTGCCTGGTCCATCAGCACAATATCAGGCTTATTCGAAAGAATAGTCCTGTCTGTGATGATGGCCCTGTCCCAGTATAGCCTGGTGCGGTCTTTTTTGAGCACGGCTTCCGGGAAATAAGTCTAATAAGACAATTTCCGATCCACAAGACCGTATTTCAGGGCGAGCTCCTGGTGTTTCCAGGCCAGCTCCTTGTGTAGGATCCTGGCTACTAGGTTATGTCTATGCAAGTACTCAGATTTAGAAACCGCCGAATAACCGGAGATGACATGCCCAAGTGATTCACCGGAATGGTGACAAGCTCGACAGGCGTTGACGGTGCCACCCCTCAGTATGTATCTCCGATAGTTGGTGGTCTTAATAACCTGATCCTGTATTGCACAGACAACACCCTCGATTTCCCCAAAGAGAATACCGAAACGTAGCCAGTGGAGGGGGCCGACCGTATCTACGATAGGCTCATGTAGAGCGAGTCTTGTAGGACCTCCCGTAGAGCTCGTTCTCCTTTATACGGTCTCCCAGTCGGAAATGCACTGTACTACTTGCCATTGCTCGTTGGCTAAGGATAGAAGAGTATGCCCTTTATCACACGAAATGACATCCCTGTAGAATGGATTATCCCATCTCGAAAGGAAGTAATTACGGAGGCTGCACACTTCGCGATTATGCGTGGTGAGAGCGCTTAAAATTTATTGTAATTATTATTAAAAAGAGGTGACTCACGGTATTGGTGCCGGCGATGGTGTCGGGCTGCTTGCCGAAGCAGAAGTCCTTCTTGCCGGAGAACACCTCATAGATGAGCTTCCCGTTGAAGACCGCCACCTTGGGGCGGAAGGTCTGCAGCTTCTCGAGCAGCAGCGCCGAGCCCTCCTTGATCTCGCGCCGCGTCAGGTCGGCCGAACCCTTGGTGGCGCGCGACACCATGTTCGTGAACCCGATGCCGAAGTTCAGCAACTGGAACCAACCACCGCTATCTCAACATGTGTACACATATTTTTTATATTTTTTATTTCTTTTGATATTTGTAAATGTACATATTGAAATTAATTTAACTAAGAAATCACTTTTTGTTATTATCTTGTTGTTATTTTATAGTATTATTCTCTTTAATGTTTTTAGAGTGTATGTATTATGTATTTATTTATTTATTTATGCTTTATTTGCACACCAAGTATAAAAAGGCGGACTTTATGCAACAGGGAATTATCTACCAGTCTACCTCCAGGCTAAGCAGAGAATATATTGTGGGTGCAAAGTGCAAACACCTACATAAAAAATATCTGTCTACATAATATTACCATAACTATTACTACATACTATCTAAACATGTATATGTGTATGTGTATATAGTATTTATATGTGTGTGTGTGTATATATATATATATATATATATATATATATATATATATATATATATATATATATATATATATATATATATATATATATATATATATATCGGATGACCCATAGACACTTACATCTATCCTCAATTGAGAATCAAAATGTAAATGCATTGTCAGACCTGAGAACTGAGCTGGAATGCCTGGTTTACATTAAAAGGGGTCTCCAATTCTCACACTCACTATACGAAACACAGCAGCAATAAGCAGCTATTGCATGCCAAGCGCAAAGCGCGTAGGTATGTTCTACTAGCGCCTAAAAATCAAGATTGCAACGTTTTGTCGCATAAAATCATATCTAACAATCATATTAAACATATAAACGATATAAAAAGCACATGGTCAGAAAGATAAATGATTGTTGAACTTAATATTTTTTTTTTAAATTGATTAATTGCTATTTTTACATTAAAAAGTGGTTTTAGTGGCTTACGGTGTGGATTTATCACGTCCGCATTGAGGGGTAAACACGATAACTTTTGGAAATATTAGTTATTTAACTCAATCTATTTTTTAATCTCTTTATCTATCTTGTGGGAAGCCATGGAATGTAAACGGCAGTTTAATTTTCTTTTGTTTAGTTATAATTATTTTTATTCGGCTACGAAATGTCGAACTTTTCCGTATTTTAGCAGCCTTGTATTAATGTATTTTTTGTAAATAGACTGCGGCAGTCTCACTGCCTCACTCAGTTCGGCGTCAACCGGCGTCGTGAGCGGATATTGTATTGGTTGTTTACAGCGGCTCAAAAAGATCGCTGTATAAGTACAAAATATTCCAAAAACCAAATTTCATACATACTTGATTATTATAATAATCCGAGATTTTTATTAGAATATTTTAAAAGTACAGAATAAATAATAGTAGTACATATTAAAAGTAAGTAAGATGTATATATTTAACTATATTTATGAGTTACCTGAATGATGATATGATGATCATATGAGCATTATGAGTTGTGCACTTTTGGATATTCCATTTTTTTTTAAATTTAAGATTGACATAAAATTATTGGAAAATTGGAAGTATAATAATAAGGTTATTAATGAAAACTTGTGCGTATTTAAACTACTTTAAACATTTCCCTATAATCATGTTATACGTAACTTTTTTAATGCGCTTACAGCATGCGCAATTGGATTTACCAATAGTTTTTTTTTTTCACTAGAATTCTATGAGAGCCTGGTCCTACCCCGAGCTGACCCATTCGTGCTACAACCATAATATAGCTGCAGCTTGGCTCTACCGCGTATAAGAGTAACATAAAAGTATAGAGAAATGTTAGCGTTCTGTAAGTAGTAAACACTACATTAGTGATTCACATTATAAGCCACAACTAGTCACTAATTTTAGATAAGTTTTTATTATATAATAAGGGTGACAGTGCACCGGATGGTAAGTGAATACTGTAGCCCATAGACATCTACATTTATTCTCGATTAAGAATCAAAATGCAATGCTTTGTCATCCCGAAGAACTAAGATGCAATGCCTCGTATGCAGTAAAAAGGGTCTCCGGTTCTCTACATTCACTATATGAAACGCAACAGCATTAAACTGCTTTTTAGGCTGGTATTCTGTGAGAGCGTAGTCCTTCCCCGGTCGAGCCAACCCATTCGTGCTACAACCATAATATAACATACAACATGGCTCTACCACGTCAAAAATAAAACAAAATCTGAAACACACATAATATACTACTAGAGCGTTAAAGAGAAACAAGGCTAATTTGCTTTGTTCCGAATGAAAATGCTCGACGGGTCTCCACCCCTTTGTCGACGGGTCTCCACCCCTTTGTCGACGGCACACCACGCATGCGAAACTGTTTGCTTCGTTAATACTTACAGATAAAGAATCGGATAATTTGCTAATATCTGCCCCTCTATCCAATAACATCGCTGGTGTCTTCAAAGCTAAAGTGAATAGGCTTTTTATTAAGAAAATACATTTTTACGTGGTAGAGCCATGCTGCAGTCCTGCAGTATAGTTATAGCACGAATGGGTCGGCTCGACCGGCGAATGACCACGCTCTCACAAAATACCAGCGTAAACAAGCAACTTAACGCTGCTGTTTCGTATGGTGAGTGTAGAGAACCAGATCCTTTGTACTGGAAACAAGGCATTCCATCTTAGTTCTCGCGGGTGACAACGCATCTGTATTTTGATTAGTAATCGAGGAAAGATGTAGATGTCTATGGACCACAGCAACTACTTAACATCAGGTGGACTGTGAGTGCGTTTGTCACCCTTATCCTATAAAAAAAAAACATTACTCTTTCGAGTCAGTGAGTTCCTTTCATCCATTTCAGCCTATCAAAAGTCCACTGCTGAACATAGGCCTCCAGCATAGATAAGAAATATCATCAAATTACTATAATAACAAATTTTAAGTGTCTGAGCTGAACCCCTATTCTATACCTGATGCCCACTGTGCAGTCAAAGAGTTTCACAATCTTAACAATTTTTTTTTACTGTTATAAGCCAATTCTTAACTACTTTCTCACCGGATGGTTAGTGGTGATGCAGCCGAAGATGGTGCACCGCACTAACTTAACAAAAGCCTATTAACTCTTTCATTGAAGACACACATTATAATCCTATGGAAAAACAGATGCTGACAAATTACTCCACTCCTTTGTTGCTAACAACGAAGCAAACCATTTGGTTCAAATACGTGGTATGTCGGCAATGAAGAGGGTGTTTGATGGTCTGATAATGGAATGGAGAGGGAGAAATGAAGTCACGCAATTCCTACGCAGACTCTCTAAAATGTATCCTGTAAAACACCAAAAGGCTGCCTGCTTTTGCCTGTTTTCGGCGAACTCTAATGCAAAACTCCTTCCTGACGGCTCCTTGACGCAGTGGCTTTGCATCGAATTGTGGCACTGAGGGCCGCTGGTTCGAATCGCGCACGGAGCAAATATTTGTTTGGCCTACAAATAACTGCAACGAGTCTAGATGTTTGTCCTCGTGCAATTTATGTTTGTAAACTGCCTTCACGATACAGGAGAAAATCCTACTGTGCGAGTAACGTTTTTTTAAATTACACAATAAAAAGCAAAATTTATTCTTTCATATTTATTTGATTCGCTTCGCACTCAAAAGACGAAGAAAAGAAAGGCTGTTATCTTACCTTGTAGTCTTCGTCAGCGCTCATCTGCTCTCGCGTGAGTCCGGACAGGTAGAGGCATTTCCAGAAGTGATTTCCGGGGCCCGCGTAGTGGTGTCCTTTATACGCCGCAAACAGACCCGGGTTGATGCCGATCTGAAGATGCAAAGAGCAGTGCTTGTTGATTATTTAAGTTACAGTGATAATCTCGCCACCGTAGCCAGGAATGGGCCGGCCATATAGCTCGAAGAACCGACAACCGATGGAGAAGAAAGGTTCTCGAGTGGCAGCCTCGTACCGGTAGGCGAAGTGTAGGGCGTCCCCCCACAAGATGGAGTGACGACCTGGTAAGACATGCAGGAAGTCGATGGATGCAGGTGGCTCAGGACCGTGCTTTGTGGCATTCTTTGGAGGAGGCCTATTTTCAGCAGTGGACTTGTGAAGGGCTGTAATGTTGATGATGATGATGATAATCTCGAGAAATCCCATCCTCGATGACATGATCCCAAGAAATATTGGCACATATCATTGATGGTTTGCAACATATCATTGATATATAGAAAGAACAGCGTAGGTGATAGTACGCAGCCTTGTGGAACACCAGCATTGATAGGCTCGTAATCGGAGCATGCACCGTCTACTACGACCTAGATGCAAGCAAGGAAACTAGTGATCCAATTGCACAATTTTTCGGGAATCCCAAAGGGAGAATACTTCGAAGTGCCAAACCCGATTGAAGGACTTCGCTATGTCTAAATTACAAAAACCGTACTGGCGGTCACTAATCAGCTGATGATCCTCAAGGTACCTCATGAGCCGGCAGTTTATAATGGATTCCATTATTTTGGAGAGCAAGGTGATAGCGATAGGCCTGTAGTTAGGCGAGTCTTTTTTAGGTATAGGGTGAACTAAAGCTGTCTTCCATGAATTCGGAAATATGCCCAGAGAATAGGAGTGCCGGAAAAAATTACGTAAGATTACAATTATTATGGTAAATTAGATAAATCAGCGCATGTAATTTTGGTTCACAATTCTTGTAGTGCTGACGCGTCGAAATAGGGTTATTATGAAATTATCATGAGCACCTTGCAAGGTAAAATACATAAGACTAATCACCAGTTGCATCTTTCAATACGGACATTTGTAATTGGCAGTCGTAACTTGTAACTTAACCGCTTGTTACGTATTAAATTAAATATAAATCGATGTTACTTAGTATCGGGTTGGTAATACGTCAATCAAGCAAACTGCGGCATTTGTAGCGGGAACGCGAATCGGCAATAACTCACCATTAGTGTCAATATGCGCCACGTGCCGCATGCAGACGTGCACGCGGCCTGCAGACTTAACGCCTAGGGAATTGGTTTATGGTTCTATGAATGCACTGGTCATTGATCGATTTACAATGTGAACAAGTTTCTTAA